AGTCTTCCAACTTCTCTCCTGGTCAAATAGCTCTCCAGTGAGGGAGGCAGAACAAAAAACAAAAACAAAAGTAAAATGCTGTATGTGTCTTCTCTTGGATTTAGATGCCTCCATTACCCCACAATTAGCAGGATATGCGATACGTCGGGGTGGGTGCCACAGCGATCTGGCAGGGTGCTCGGCTGGAGCGATCAGGGTGCTAATTTCCCGCCGTTAAAAGCTGTAATTATGTAGACGCTGGCAGGCGCACGGCAAGGCGCTAACAGGCGACCGTCCCAACCTTTTATGAGCTCCTCAGCTGGTTCAGAGGCTAATGACACTGTACGATTGGCCCGGGCCCTCTCCAGCCGTCGCTCGGGATCATGGTGTTCTTTTTTTCCCGCTGAAAGCCATCGCGGCAGAATGGTGTTAAACATTTATAAAGAGCAGGGACAAAGATAGAGGCAGAGGAACACTTGACCTCCTCGCTGGCCTGTCCTCTTCCTCTCTTTTAGTAAATACCATCTCTCACGGCGAGGGGACAGCTCTCTCCTCACCCTAAAAGGCCGGCAGCAGTACAGAGATGGATGTATTGCACTCATTAGGAAGTTGGATTCTTCCTCTCTCCGTACCGGAATGGAAATCAGAAATAACCTCAGAGAAAATCCTGCCTTCTCCTGGAAACAGGTTTGATGTATTTTTAAGGATTGGATGGAGCTGTGCTAAATAAATCAAATGTAGATGTTTTATCCTTCAAACTGGCTCCGATGGAGGAGGGCAACATAACAAGTATAACGGGAGAGGTGCTGCAATATACAATACATAAAACATAAGGGTTTTTCATTTTTGGATGTCATTTTTGGATGTCATTTTTGCCTATTATAATACTTATTGTTATCATATAATATAAAATCTTATCTATTTTAAATTATTATTTTTGTTTTATTATTATGATTAGTAGTAGTATATTTGTAATGTTATTATAGTATTAGTAGTATAATTTGTTTAATTTATTTGTATTTTTTTTCCGTAGCTGGTTAGTAAGAATTCATTCTGCAGATATAAAAACTTTTAAATAAAACAGAGATGGATTCAGAAGTGTATGCTGAACTAAGAAGGGTGAAATTCACACAAAAAAAAAAATCATAAAAAGAAAAACTGACCTCAAAGTTTCAAACCCTCCATGAGCAATATGGCCATTGAGCTGTTATATGACTCGACACTGCAGGTTAGGGTCATCTCTAGTTCCCCTAGCCCACCTCAGAGACATTACCAATAACATGAGCCTTCATCATCTTCCTCCTCCCCAAATCTGGAAAAGCATTGCTTCAGACAAAGTATGGGGGCCATATCATGAATGGCAGACACAGCTGAAGGACATACGTGGGTGACAGAGAGGCGTCTGAATAACTGCCTCACGGTAAATGAATAGCACAGAGTCCCTCTCAGTCGGTTAGAGGAGCGATCGGATGAGAGCTGAGAAATGACACACAGAGAAGCCCTAATCTGTGACTGACACCCTGATCTCAAGGACTTACAAGGAAGAAGAAACGGCAATGTGTAGTCGAGTCAAATTGGTGTAGAGTCATGACGCAAAGGAGGAGAAGCTGTCATGATAAATGAGCCTAACCAACCTCAGATAAGCGACCATTTTCCTCTGCAAGTGTTTCCTGTAAACTGCTTTTTTAACTCATTTCAACACGAATAGATAAGCAACAGAAAAATAATCAACTTAGAATGTAATGTTGAATGCAATAATAACAGATTATGCTCTTTTTAGCCTCTTACATATTGATAATGCTTTATTTTATGGTTCAATAGCTTATCTAACCTTTTTCTAAGCCAATCAGATTTAATGTATATTAAAACTAAAGAAAATGCAGATTTTCTGTTATTTGGAGATGTGTGATATTAGTGCAAGAGAAAATTGGTAAATTCAAAATATATTGATCTTACATTTTTCTTTTGCATTGTCATTAAAAATGTATATTTAAAATCACATAATTTAGAACTGTTAAGGCTTTTGAAAGATTGATTTAAGATATTTAGCTACTAATTAAATCCTTATTTTAAGATAATTAAATGTAATTCCTTACGATAACTAAAAGCATCAGTTAACACTTTTATATCAAATAAATATTCGGTTTTCACTGACAAAAAAAATGGATGTAAAGACCTCTCCCTGGACTGTTTCCCCCCCCCCTCAATACTTTACATCTACACCGCAGCATGCTACAAGCGACTGCACAGAGCACACGCTGGTAGCTTGCTAAGCATATGAGGCAGCGGAGCAGAACGACGCACGCCTCCACAATACATTTCTGAGGGTGCACGCTTTGAAAGTCGCTGAGCTGCAGAAACACTTTCATTTAGCAGCTGAAACACAGACCGAGGAGAACGGGAATCCTTTCGGAGTCTCTTCTCTCATCCTTTTTTATGTTCCCCTCTGTTGCCTTGGCTCTGCTGACATTTCTGTATGTTACCATTGAAAAACAAAGCAGTTTTTCTTCATTACTTTCCGCTGGTGTTTGCCAGAGATAAGCTCTGCAAAGAGAGTCTCTGTTTACATGTATAACACAGAGCATACAACCGAGGGACATCCATCTCTCTTTACGGCTTGTCCACAACTTTAAACACAAGCATGCGTTTCCGGACACTTCCTGTCTCCTCTCAGCTGCAGCCCTGGCACGGCGCCCTATCCTGGGCAGCGCGAGCCGCCAGATTGATCCGGCTTTAATGATGAGTCCTTCGGCCTAGGTGACATCATTAGCTGCTTGGGTGCCACCGCGAGGCCACTTGGCACGGCTCGCCTGCTTCTCTTCTGGGAAAATGGGTCAGCGTGAGTGACAGGCTGAGAGACGGCGGCCAGAAGAGAACACGGAGAGGGCAATGCCCTTCACACACCTGTGTTCACACAGTAATCTGTCTCTGAAACAAAAGCACTTCTGAAGAGCTCTGAACAGTTTTAAAAAAAACTAATTTGGATGCTTTTCAATCCCTGGGTTGAATGGAGATTGAAAAAGAGTCTGTGACTAAAGGTGGGTACAAAAACCAGGTATTAATCTGGCACGGGGATATCTCTTTTAAAAGCTTTAGTAGTGATACGGTTTGATGCTACAGGTTGTTGTTTTGGTGCTTTTATGGTGTATTGTCATGTATAACTGTGCACAGATACTACCACAGGGAACATTGTACATATTAGACTCCTAAATCTCCTAAAGTTAATAATGACACACAATCAATTCCCAGAAAGAAACTAATCCTTACGATAACCATTCCCACCTGACCTATGTGAACTGTAACTCAACAGATTTGGCATTAAACTGGACTAGAGTCACACTCATAAGAGAGTGTGTGAACGGGAGTCAAGCTTCATGAAACACTCTTTTCTGCTCGATCACAGCACTGTAGGAGTTCAACCCAGGTCAGTATAAATAATGCAAGCCTTAGAGGCTGCATTTTAAAGTGCTCTATGATTAATGGTGACCTAATGCCGGATAAAACGAGAATATAAATTGACTCCGATGTGATACAGACTTGGATATAAAACTAACGTTATCGCGTTTTTCTTCTCTTGCACTCTCTTTACGTCCACTAGTGGAGAATGAAGGGGAAGTCACAGAGATCGGCTTTGGAAGAAATCTGGAGGCTGCAGATCCATCTCATCCATCTATCTGTCAGCATCTCAGCAGGCACAAAAACACATAGCATGTCCCTGCCCTCAACCCCTCTCCTCTTACACACACAGATATATGCAGACGCAGACACACACCCCCACGGCCACAGTGGCTAAACATTGTCATTTTAGCACAGCAGCTGTTTTTTGCAGGCCATAAAAGCAACAGCCCCTTTAGCGCTATGCTCCCTCCTCCCTCATTCTGTCCACAGTGTCCAAACGGTGCATACCTCCCAGGCTGCTGGTGTAAAGTGCACTAACTCTCTATGCACAGCCTGCAGCTCACAGTGTGTGAGTCTGCGTGATGTTTCTGCCGTCTTTGAACTAACAAATATGAGTCCAGGTGCGGATCCTGCGAGTCAGAATTGCAGAATGAACAAAAAAACTACATAATCAAACCTGAGGAGTTGAAAAAGTGTGACTTGTAATTTCAATGTTCATATAGTAAAATGAGGGTTTCTACAACTTTTACGACCATCAAAGTCAAGGACCTTTCAAAGACCTTCCAGGTACAATTCTGTCCAAGTATTAAGACTTAAGAAAACACACTTCTTTATTCAATTTTAATTGTTTAATAATGTAAAAAAAATAGTTTTTGGCCCTTAATTCAAGGACTTTTGAAATACTTTCCAGGCCTCATTTCCTAAAATTCAAGGATCCAACATAATTCAGTAAAAAAAAAATAGTTGCAATTAAATAAATAAATATTTAAGCACCTTCCGTCACCATTATGTCTATCTTCCAAAACGTTCTAACTTACTAAAATTAAATTAATTTTATTTTTTAAACAACATAAAAAGGTGTTGCCCGTGACCATACAGTGTACGTCTTAAGAATGAGGGCGGAGTCGCTCTGATTTCTCGCAAACAATAGCGAGATTGCTTCAGAGTTTCCATGGCAACCTATTATCCTGAATCCTGACCCCCCTCTCATCCACTTACCAATCCCCCAGATGCCTAATTGTTTCCCTAATGATGCTAGGCCTAATGGGACTGTTTATGGTATTCATTTGATAGCACTGGCCCAGTAATTAGACTGCACCTCACTTCATTAAACAGNNNGCTGTAATCTGAATGTTAGCGTGGGTGTGGCGTGTGAAAACACAGTGCGGCATGGGTGACCAAGACCTGCCCGTTGGGTCCGGCGAAAGTCGCGCCCGTTGGGGGGTGGATGGGCGGTACCGCGTTGAGAACTCGCCACAAATGCTCCCGTTTGGGTTGAATGCGTTAAAAACAGTAGAGGCAGGTTGAGTATAAAATGGTTAAGCGATGGTCGGGTAGAAGGAGCGAGAGTAATCGAGCGTGTGTGCCTTTTGTAGCTTTAGCGTATTTCTTCTTCGAGCTACTTCTTGTAGCTTCTCGTTCGTTCTTTGGCGTCCTCTTCTGTGGCTCTTCTTCTTCTTCTACGTCTAATTCAAGATGGTAGGCGGCGTGCCCGCGAAGAGTTAGTGTGGACAAAGAAACATTGGCTAGTGTGGTCGAGAGCTAGGAGAGTGCGTGAGTGAGTGTAGCAAGCAAAATGGCTTTGTAAAAGCAGAGGGAGAGGACGCGAGAGAGTGTGGAATGGTCTCAATGCCAAGGTGTGGAGGTTGGAAGTGAGTGAAAGGGTGGTTGGGGTAGTTTGATTAGGATGTATTGTCGCCAGGGGGGAAATTCATTTTACAGCACGAACAATATGAGGTCAGCATAAACAAATAAAACAGACAAGCTAGGCGGGATAGCACGGCGGAAGCAGCGAGTGGAGTGGTGGCGGCGTGGGTGTATGGTGATTAGGGCTGGCCTGGGTATATGGATCGAGGGCTTTTGCCAAAGCGAGCCCTGGGTTGGGAGCGTAGGTGAGATAGGAGAGGATAATAAGTGGGAAGTAAGTAATAGATAGATAATTATAAGTAATAATAGTATGTATGGTATATAAAAACCGTATTGGTAGCAACATGTAGCGACATCTTAGTGGGATTGTGGAAAATGTATGTCTGTTTTGTCTCATGCAGTTATGGCGATTTCCACGTACGACGCCAAATAGAGACAAACCAGGGGGACTTGATTTTTAATCTGTGTCGTGTCCATTTGGTGTAGTGATTTTTGATCTATGATTACGAGTTTGTCGGTAGGTATAGTATTTCACACGTTTCTTATGAAATGCCAGGTTTTAGGCCTTGGTTGAACGAGGCAATCCCTGAAATAAAAAATTCAACCAGGATGAATTGTTCTTTAATCGGCTGAGGGGTATGGACAGGTAAATAGTAAGTAAAGTAGAATCTGATAGGAAAACGAGTTAAGGGATAGAGGAGAAAAGGTTACGGTATAATTACAGAGCCTGTAAATGTTTACATTGAGGAAATCAATGTATAAATTCAAATCAATGTTAGTCTGTTAACCAAAGTGCAGCCATCTGATAATGTACTATCCATTATTAAAGATCAGAGGAATATTGGCTTGGAAGCCAGTATCCTCGAGATTGAGAAACGGCCACAGACTCACTGCAGCACCGTGCACACAGAGATCCGCCGGTGGAGAACATAGCGTTCAAAAGTGACAATCTAATCTACAGAGCTCGATGTGGTCCATAAGTATTTTCACGGAAACACGACCAATCTGTCCATCGGCTGGCCAAAAGGCATCATTTTTATTCGGAGAAATGCACCGTTTTCCACTTCCTTAACCCGGAGTTCTGTTGCCCCAATTACGTGTAAGGTGGGAGAAATACTCAGATCAAGTAGGCCTACTTAACTAAAAGTAGTATACTGCGGGGTAGCTTATGAATTTACTCCAGGTGTAACTAAAGTGTGATTTAAGAGTTGATTATATTTCACATCATTCATCCACATCTGTAAAGTAACTAAAGGTATTAAATACATATAGTGGAGTAGAAGTACATTGTTATGGACGTCCACCACCCATCGTTGCATCTTAGAAATGAGGGTTCATGAGCATTGAGATATGAACTTCGCGCGGAATTCATAGGAAGGTGAAAACGAAGAAACGATTAGAGACGAGAGGATGTCAAGTC